AAGCAGCAGCACAATGATGAGGTCACCTGTCTTCTCACTCTGCTGTCTCTTCCTATCAGCACCCTATGTCTCCCAGTCTGGACATGGGATTGCAGTAGAGTGATATCATGACACATGTGGGTACTTATACTTGTATCTTTTAATGTACTTCAATCTAAACTCCAGGAAAGAAAAACAAAAATGACCCTTGCAGTAGGGCTCCCCTGCGCTGCAAGTGTTAAATGCTCATTTTGTCTAGGGGGAACAGAAAAGGCAACTATTCTTACTTTATGCTCTGTTCCCATGGCAGTGGCTGCTTTTCTTTGCTTTCCAACACTGTGGATTGTGGACAGACCCTCAGGCTAGATTCACACCTAGTGAGCTGTTTTCGTTTGCGCGACCGTGCTTTAGAAAATGCGTGATTTTCAATACATAGAGATGTCTATGGGACCCAAACCCCGCGATTACCGCTTGAAAATAGCTCCTGCACCTTTTTTATGCGACAGGCGATTTCAAGTAGTGCCTGCAAAGGAATAGAAGTGACTTTACACGGTCATGGAGTCGCCCATCACCGATGATCGCTCAGTGGGTGCCAGGCGGATTGCGCGGTTTCCTGCCATGATGCTGCCCGTGCAACCGAACACGATTGTGACTGATACAGCCGTGCATTGTGTATCGCAACAAAAAGGTGCATGTACCTTTTTTTTTTCTGCGTTTGCCGCCTGGATGTTCCCCATTTAAATCAATTGCTGTCGCAATCGCTCGACGAACGCTCTACAAAACGGTCAAAAAAATAAATAGCATTGTAGTCAATGCCCTCGTTCCCACCTAGGCGTATTTCCGCCCGTCCCTAACGCCCTACAAAACGGCCCACGCCTGAAAAGGTCCCGGGACTACTTTGGGCCGTTTTGTAGGGCGTTTTCCATTTGGATACTGCCAAGTAGCCTTTGGAATGGCGCGACGGTCGCGCAACTTTTTTTACCGCGTTTCGCGGTAAAAAAAACCCGCGTGACGGTCGCGCGACAGACGCGCATATTACAATACGCCTAGTTGTGAATGGGGCCTAATAGTCTTAGGTCATTTTTGTAATTTTTCCTGGAGTTGAGCTTTAAAATTCAACTCCAGCTGAAACCTTTTTTCTATTTGTTCAGTTTTGAATACTGTGGGGAAAGTTCTACCATCTGTAAAGTTTTTTTTTCTTGTTTTTTTTTAATAGTTGTCCTTGACTCCGTTGTAGACATTTCACTTTTTATCCTTGTAGCACCTGGAAAATAAATCAGAATGGAGGTCACTGAGATTGACCTCCTGCTACTTTTGACCTTTTCTAGCTAGTCTAAAACCAAGTTATGTGGCTCTATCCCCATAAGAGCGATTTACCATCATTTGTTCCTCTGACACCCTGTCTCCACAGTGGGACTTACAAACCGCAAAAACTTCCCAGAGGCTGTAATACTTTCTGCTCTGTTCAGGTAAGAAAAAACACCTTTTATTTGGAATTGGGCTTTCAGTATTTTAAATAAGTCCATACATGCATTAAAGGAGAATTATGAGGTGAGTGATTTTCACTCAGCCTTATAATCTGAGCCGACCTGTGACAATGAAACTGTCACTGGTCGGCTCAGTAGATCGGGAAGTCAGCGAATACATACCGTCGCTCGCTCACTTCTCGATCTATCCGTGCAGAGAGCTGTGACTGTCACTCACGGCTCCCTGCAGGGATCCCCCCCCCTCCCCTGTCCGATCCTCCAGCGCTGACTGGCGGAACGGACGGGGGAGGGGGCGGGTACAGCTGGCTCTGCCTCTAGATAGGCAGAGCCTATCACACCCAGCTGTCACTCATGCAGCTGGGTGGATCCAGACAGCATTGTCGGGATCCATTCTGGCTGCGGCGTCTCAGTATACCGCGAACTGCAGCTCGCGGTAAACTGAGCTTTGGGTGACAGGAGGACGCTAGTTTGTGTCGTCCTGTTACCCTAAGGAGAACTATGGGGAAAAGCACTGACCCCATAGTTCTCCTTTTTAATGTAGTCCTAAACTCAGAAAAGTTTGCTATGTCTTAGATAACATTTAGAAATATTAATTGTTCATGATTTACCATGTAAGATTTTCCTTTTTGCCTTGAAGTCCTCCTGAAAAATAACAGTGCACTTGTGAATCCCAGATTTCAGTTCCCTTCTTTAATTGTACCTGCTCTATCAGAAAAGACAGTCCATCATAGAGACTCTTGGTTGCTAAAGCCTTTTCCTGTTTTACTACTATAGTGGATAGGATACAAGTGTGCATGTCTATGAGAAAGCTTAGCAGTGAAAAAAAACCCCCTCTGTTTTTGTGGTCAGAGCATTAGTAAATGTCCATCTTCCATTTTATGTAGGGACCCTTTGAGGCATAAAAGTTTTTTTCTTTTGATTTCCGTCTTTTGAAAGATTATATAACACCACCATTATTTTATATTATGTTTTGATCTTGGCAGAGTAAAAAGGCTCCTTGCAGAATACAGATCTGTCAGAACTGAGACATGTATTTCAAATGTATGGTAGAAAATAGAAAACTAGAATATCCTTAAGCTCCATCTGAGAGATGACAAATGGCATTAACAGCCTTGGTGTCTGTGCAGCTTCACATCCTTCTTATTAATATTGCCCTGGAAAGCCTCATTAGGATTTTGTATGTGTGTCTTCATTCTTGTTGTGACATACTCCCTCAGCGTGGATATGCTGGCTCTGAGACCACCTTTCCGCATTTTCGATTATGCTGAATGCTGCTTGTCGCATTGAGAACAGTTTCCACTGATTTGTATCTGAGCATTGTTTTCCTTTTATTTCTGAAAGATCAAAGATTGTATAAAGAATTAGTAACAAAGCATCAGTCTTGTGCCAAACCTTTTGCTTCTTGGTTCTTCCTGGTTCTGTTTAGTCACTTTTTAGTGCATTTTTTTAATACTATACTACAAGCCTCTCATCTCCTGGAAATTTCAGTATAGGGGGTGCTTTACCTTTAAGTCTGTGGACTTAAAGGAGAAGTATGGGGTCAGTGCTTTTCCCCATAGTTCTCTTAAGGGTCACGGGAGGACATAAACTAGCATCCTCCCGTGATCCAAAGCTCAGTATACCGAGAGCTACCGCGAGCTGCAGCTCACGGTATACAGAGACCGCCGCAGCCGGGACGGATCCTTACATTACTGTTGAGATCCACCCAGCTGCGTAATTGACAGCTGACTCTGCCTATCCTACCCGCCCCCTCCCCCGTCCGTTCCTCCAGTCAGCGCAGGAGGATCAGACAGGGGAGGGTGGGGATCCCTGCAGGGAGCTGTGAGTGACAGTCACGGCTCTCTGCAGGGACAGGATCGAGAAGCGAACGGCGGTATGTGTTCGCTCCCCGATCTATTGACCCGACGTGTGGCAGTTTCATTGTCACAGGTCGGCTAGAACTATGAGGCTGAGGGAAAAGCACTCACCTCATAGTTCTCCTTTTAAGCCTTGCAGTGCAGGGGTAGCCCCACTACAAAGGTTTATCAAGTTTTGCCTGGAGTTCTTGTATGTACATTATGTATTTTATGTGTCGATAACCAAAAAGCCTGGGATTAAAGGAAGACTATAATTTGACGGCTACATAAAAGGTTTTGTGGGGAGGGCTGAAGGAGCTGGGCCAGCAAAGACATTTGTTAGAGCCGCTTTTTCTATGTGTAATCTAAAGGACTGAGCTATCAGTTTGACAGTATGAATGGTATGGCTTAATTTATGAATGGTAGCTTTCATTCATAAAGCACTGTTATGTATAAATAAAAACTTTTTTAAATGACATCTTTGCTTATTAACCATTAGTGAACCCTAATTAGTTTTTATTCCTTATTTTACAATATTTTTTTAAAATTCAGAATGTAAACTTTTAAAATTTGCATTCATGTTTGTAACACAAAATAAAATCTATACCAGAAACCTGATTCTAGTGCCTTTTTATAAAAGGATAAAGCATAGAATAAAATGTGTAGATAATGTTTTTTAAATCTAGAATTTGTAGTGGAAAATGTAATTAGCCCCTTTTTTATTTTGTTTTAATAAACTCTCTAATTCCCTTCCTTTTTAGTGTTTTTTTCTTTAAAAAAAAATGTGTATAAGTTCTTGTAACGCCGAAGTAAAGATCTTGTAGGAGCGGCATCTGTGGCATCCTTCCCTTGGGTGCTGTTTTCGTTCAATGCTAAATATAGTGGAGGGAAGAAGTATTGTATTGTGTTTTTAAAAAAAAACGAATTAGAAGTTTGATTTTTTTTTTTTTTGTTTCTATTTGAAACACCCTCATGTAAATAACAACATTTTTACTTTTGCACCTTTTGTCTTTCCTTCAGTATTTGGCAATCTTCTTTTTTAGTTAGTCCAAATTTAAAATATCAGTTAATGACCAACCATCTGCTGTTATCATATGACCACTTCTTAGGCTGGGTTCACACCATTTCCCGGACCAGATCTGGAATGCAGTGCATTGGGTTTTTGCCGCGATTTTACCATGTTCCGGAGCTGTTTTTTATTAAATTTTTTACCTTAAAATGAGCTCTCAGGTGAACTCCAGTGCGTTCCGTGCATTTTTGATACGTTTCTATGTGTTCCAGTGCATTCCAGACAAAATAGGACATGCAGTATTTCTCTGGTCTGGTCTGGAACAGATTGTGCTGGTGTGAAGAGGCCAGAAATTGCATAGGGATGCATTTTGGGTCAGGAAACAATCTGGTCTGCTCTGGAGATTATCCGGATGTGGTGTGAATAGACCCTTAGGCTTAGAGCTGCAGCATTGTCTTGTCTACATGCTTAAGATCAACACGAATCGAGCTAAAAATGTTGCACTGTTTTATTAAGCTGCAAGAGTTCAGTTTTTTTGGTTTGTTCCCATATGCTATCCACTTGTCTTAGGAAATAATTGGATATGAAATAACAATATTCACAGGTACACTTGCAGCTTAGTAGAATTATTTCATGCTAGAGTAATAAATGATTAATGTGATTTTCTTTCTTGCAATTCTTCTTTTTCAGTTTGCAATTTTATGTCCCATGAAAAATGCTTAAAACATGTCAAGACCCTCTGTGGCTGTATGGCTCCAAGTCTAGTACGGGTAAGTAATCAGCATCCTCTTTTTCTTTTTTAATATCCCTACATCTTAGATTAGTCTTATGACATCTTTCATTATTTTGAACTAGCACATTTGGGCTTTTGTCATTCAAAAATAATACACTGAAGCAACCAATAGCTGGTTTTCCTTAGGAGCATTTTGAGCCCCAAACATGAACATTGCAGTTTGTCTTAAGAAATAATGCCAGTTGCTGCATCATTGTGGGCATGTTTTGTTTTCTGTCTCGTACAAAATTCTCTTGTATGTTTCTCAATGATTTCTTGCAAAGATGTTGCTCAGCTGTCAGGTAAATCGGAAAGGTAAAGAGAAGCTTTGGAGTGGAGTATTTAGTACCATATGGAGTGAGTCATATTAAAAGACCTGTTACTTTTCATTGCTGTCTTATCCATGCCACCCATTCGGATATAATATTTATTTCTATTTTTAATGTAAAGAAGTCATGCGTTTGCTAATGCAGAGGATCTTTGGCTAGTGGGTACTGTCACGACAGCAGCTGATTCTCCAGCTTCCACTGAGTGACAGTGCCATAAGAGCCTTTGTCAGATCAAGTCTGGATTCCCTTTCTTTTGGCAAAACACTAGACTTAGCCGATTATTAAGTTCGGTTAATCGGATAAAAAATATAGGAGGTGAGGCGTGGATGCAGGCGGTTCTGGCAGCGGCAAACGTGAGGTGGGGAGGAGGTGCGGCGCGCAGCGTGTGTGGAGCAGTAAATAGGGCCAACCAATCAGAAGCCAATTAATCGATGATTGAAAAAGTTTACAACTTTTTCAATAATCGATTATAATCGATTATGTCAATTAGTTGTTGCAGCCCTCAAAACACATGGTTTTTAGGTAATAAAAACCTTTTAACCCCTTCATGACTGAGGCCTTTTTTTCATTTTTTGCACCCATGTTATATTCCACAATTTAAGCTCAGAAGCGACGACAGGAGAGGTAAGTCGCCAGAATCGCTTCTGTTGTAAAAACGACAGTCGGCTTTACAAGTTTAAACAGACTCCCGGCGGCAAAAGTCGCCGGGAGTCTGTTTAAACAACCCCGATGCTGGCGACGTACACTGTACGTCGTCAGTCACGAAGGGGTTAATACACATGGATATTTAGGGCCGGTGCACACCTAGGTGACACCTGACCGCGCAGCAATCGTGCACGATTCGCGCGGTCATGGAGTCACCCAGCACAGATATTCGCGCTGTGGGTGCCATTATTTTTTAATGGCACCCCAGTCGCGCCGGGTGGATTGTGCTGTTTCCCGCTGCGATTCCGCCCGCGCATCCGCACACCATCTCGGCTAAAGCAGCAGCGAGTTGTGCAACGTAATAAAAGGGTACATGTACCTTTTTTCTGCGATTGCCGCACGGATGTCACCCTTGGAGATCGATGGGGCCGCTGTCTGGATTGTGCAGAACAGATTACATTACTAATGTCCAAGAGGACCAGAAAGAGAAAAAACAATAATTGTAAGTAAAAGAAAATTATGTTTGTTTAAATAATGAATGTAAGATGATTTCATATGAGCATGCAGAGCTGTATGCTGAGGTGATTTTTAGTGAAGGAGGGTAAAGTTCCGCATTAAAAGCTGACTGCATTTGTGGCAGACATGTATTTTTTTGTTATTACAGGATCTGTACAGGGATAAAACATGGGGAAAGTTGATTTGTATTGCAGATGTGCACTGCGTATCGTTGTTTTTTTGGTATTTTATTTTGACTTGACACACACATTAAGCCTGCCACCTAAGTCAGCTATTGGTCTGCTGTATTGGGCCAATTGGGAAGTTCAAGAGGTTGGAGAGAAGGACCCAGAGACCTGTTATGCTGCTGATTAGTTATTTGCAAAGCCCGAATCGAGTTTCGAGCTTTTGGACATTGTCTTTTTATGGAGTGTAAGTTACTTCATTAAGCCTGTTGCTGCACTTTTTGGGTGATTAGAATGTTGTCATTTTCGGCGTTCAACTGGACCATTTTCCTTTTTTATGTGATGGGAAAGGCCAGGAATGTTCAAAAGCAATAAACTATAGTCCTGTGTGGTTTTTTTTTTTTCCAATGTAATAAACGTAATAGAAAATAGGGATCATTTACTTACAAATAGAGTTTTACTTCCTGGTCCACTTCTGACACAAATGATTTCATGTGCCAAAGCATTGCATCCTGGGAAGGTTACATCAGCAGAGCATTGCTGGGAAATCTTATCTGTAATGTCATGAGATCTCAGGGAAAGACATTTTCCTCCCCTGAGATGATGTGCATGGTCACATGTCCTAGTCACATGTGCCAGAAATCCAGGAAGTAAAGTGAGAACTAGTAAAATGGCCACTGTCAGAAGACTGGGAATGAAAAGCAAAATAAGGTATGTGAAGAATACAAAGCCGGCAATTATCTAGAAATATGCGTGTGTAGATTGTCATTACTAAATATTTCTAAAGGTGTGTTTGTTGTTTTAAAGATTTGGGTAAAGGTCCGCTTTAAGTGCCAGGTTGGCATATTGCTGCTTAGTATAGGTGCGTAGGGTAAGACTGTTTTGACGAGTAAACCATAAGCAGGTTAAGTTGATTATAAAACTGTAGAAACATGAAGTGTGTTTATTGGCTATAGCAATCAACCATGTTCCGGCTGTTTGGCGAGAACATAAGCAACAGCATGGTGGCTTTACAATAAGCTGCTCAGCAAACAAATTATTATTCTGTTTTTTACGAAAGACGTTAACAGATTTTGCTCAAGAAATTTTGGGAATATCCCCATCAGTTATCCAATCATGTGAAAAGCATCTGGACATGATTGGGAATTTGAAATGAACAGGAATTTGCTTTCCATCTACTTATCACATATTGTTTCATAGAATTGGGCAGTTAAAGTTAATATTTCCACGTTTTGTTTCAAGTGAAGATTCTCTTTAGTAAATTCGCCTGTATGTATTCATAGGGCAGACACAAAGATGCTTCTTGATAATGCCGTGAATGTGACATTAACAAAACATTTAACAGTTGAATCAATCCCTGTAATGTAAAACACATGCACCAGGATGATACACCTTCAGTGAATGTTAGGTGCATGTCACTACTTTATGACTATCTCCCAAAGTAATTAGAAATAGAAAATAATTGGTATGTCAAGCTTGTACAAAACATAGTAACAAAAAGTAATTTATGCTTAAAATAAGAAACAATGTCACTGCATATGAAGACAAAGCCTGAGTGAGACAGTTTGTTTATGTATGGCCAACATCTTTTTGTTTACAGTAGGGTAGGAAAGGGTTAAAAACCCCTATTAAGTTATGTTTTGCTTAGTTCTGCTAAAGATGCAAAAGGAAGTTAGAGAAAAATCTCCCCCCATGTAGCTCCGCAGCAACAGATTGTAATAAATAGCTATTGCAGTGATCTGTTGCTGCAAATTGAGGAAGGACGGAGCTGGATCAGCTCTGCCTAGCTTTCGGACTGTCTGGAAGTGCTGTTCCATCATGTCACTTCTTATGTAAACACACTTTGGATATGTTTACAGGGCTCTGATATGGAGCACTCTGTAGCTGAATCAGAAGGCTAGGAGCTGAGCAATTAGGTTCTTGGGCTTAGTACTGACCCACGCCTTTCACTGACAGCTGACGGATCCAGCACTATTTTAAACACATTGATTGGACAAATAGCCACTTTCCCAGTGCCTTTTTTAAAAGGTACCTGGGTTTCTGTCTGTTTTAAAACCATTGATGAGACAAATAGCTGCTGTCATAGCCATTTCAAAAAGTACACCTACAACTGAAGTGGTTAACAAATTACATTGTATGGGATTCTTAAAAAATCCTCAAGGCTTGACCTGTTTTATTGGCAGTGGAATATAGAATGTGTGTATATTTTTGTGTATGTATGTGTTTATCTAATCCATCCATCCATAGCTGTAATTTTTGAGGAAGGAGCATTGGCTACCTGGCTTCTGAGATTTCTGCAGCCCTGATATATATTGAAGAGTTCCTTACAAAAATATACGGTAGTTTTGTACGTATGGTCTTTATTTAATATGTTCAAGATCAACAACAGAAACATGTAGTCACCTACATCCTTGTAGCAATTTCATCAATGGTATTGTCAGTCAAGTAGTCATGGTTTGCCACATATACAGTAGTGTCTCGTACTGCTAGTAGATATTTTTAATGTAATATTAAGTGAAAGGATCCCAAACTGGCTAACTCGTCGTATTCCTGCCCTGGCATGTTTTTCAGGAAGTATATGGCTTCTTCAATGAAGGCATGCCATTGGAGGTAATTGTACACAGGAATGTAAAGATATTGGGAATTACTCGCCATATGTGTCTAAGGACTGGCTTATTGATGAGCATAACAAGGAATAAAATGTCTAAACTACTGTACATTAAGTGTATGTAAAACCTAAACCTTTTTTTTTAGTTTTGTATAGAGTGTGTCTGGGTCCCATTGGGGGAGATTTCCCCCAAAAGCAGAATAGGACATAAAAGGATATCTAATGGGAGGGGATATTCCCCCTTAAATATTTCCACTTTGGGACCCTGTTCCATTCCTATGTCTTTTATGGACAGTAGCGCTGTTGACACTGGAAACCATGCATTCACTACTTACTGACCAATTGTCCTATAGTATCAACTATGGGATTACTACATGGTTGTAGGTACATACTGTTAGTGATGTGCGGTGGCTTGGTGTGAACACCGTTTGCCATAGTTGTCCAAGCCCACGCAACACGTACTGCCCCATCCCTTTCCCAGCCCAGTCAATTGCGGCAGGGGCATTCCCTGCCCTTTTGTGATGTGTAGCTGTGGGGTGGGGTACTTCCTGGCTGCAAATGATTGGATCGGGATATGTCAGTCATAGTTTTGTGTGGGCTTTGGCAAACTCCGAGAATCTGGCAGCCATGCAGGAACAAGGATCAGGTCAGTATATTGTCTTTTTATTTTAGCCTCTACACCAAATGTGTCATTAACAAGCATTGGCTACCTGGCTTCTGAGATTTCTGCAGCCCT